CTGCACTTTTAAAGGAAACATGACAAGACTATATGCCTGGTGCTGACAGTCAGCCATCTGGGACACGTGTTGTGGAATGTGTATTGCAAAGGATGATGGGATAGTATCATAATCCTCCTTGCATACATACATACATACATACATACATACATACATACATACATACATACATACATACATACATACATACATACATACATATATATATAAAAGCTTCTGCACTAATTGCTATACAGGGGTATTGAGTCTGGGAACTCTGAAGTTTGAGGTTTCTTTTCTTTTGCCATGCTTTTTTTGAAAATCATGTGTTTTGTTCTGTGACAATGTAAATTTTTCTACTCTGGATATGAATAACAAAGACTACTTCAGGATTGGTCTCGGTAACACAAATGGCGGTTTGTAAACATTGGTGTGAGACTGTTGTTGCCCTTGACAACAGCCGTTTTTGTTTGGCCTCACGTTTCTGGATGCCTGCCAAGAAACACAAAAAGACATTTACATCCATTAGGTTTTCTGTGTCAGATCTATTCAGCAAAGGTCAAGTTCCTGCCTCTACCAAAGCCTGTGTAACAAAAATATTTTTCACAGAAGCACGACTTCCATTCACCTCCTGGTTTTCTGTTCAAGTTGCAACTAGCTCACGGTGTTACAGGGTTAATTTTTTTGTAACAAGGTTCAACTGTCTCCAAGTAAACAAGGGTTAAAATGACATAACACTGGTTCACAGAGCACTTTCGAATACAACTCTCTTTTGAACTGTAGACATGTTCTTTTAGTTGGGAAATTAAGATTGGAACATACAAGAACATTGTCAGGTTGATCTTTCAGAAAAATTGTTACAAATTTATACTTTCAACTACCAGAAATTTTGTGTTTAAGAAAACAAACAAAAGTCTCACATAGACATCTTGAATGTCATAAACTTTTATCATGTGACCAACCAGAATATACAATATCATAATAAGAGCAAGAAAATATCAGTTTCAACCCCACCCCCCAGCACTATAGTGATGAAACCATTAGAAGTTGATCCGGCGGCACCCTGTCTACCGAGACGTGTTTATTGGGTTAGGGATTGGGGAGCTGAACTCTGGGCTTGACCCCGGAGTAAAACATCAATAAATATCTGGTTACCTCATTACTCAGGCACAGGAGAGTCAACAGCAGAGTCATATAGGGACCTGGGACGTGCCTAATGTATTTAACAAACGTCCGTCGCTACGTTGTTGTTTCCCTGGGACGGGAATGTTTATTGGTTACAGCACTAAAAAACCTTTTTGGTTGCAGGGAAAATTTAGGTTGTGGTAATGGAGACTGGATGTAGTAGATTAGAGCAATTACTCAGTAAACAAACCTCTACCAAGGCAACATGATTTTATTCTTTTATGTTTGTTTAACTTGTTTACAAGATGCAAAATAACCACCTGTGAATTTATACATATGTACAGCAAGTGTCGAAGATTGCAAAAAAATATGACCAAGATCCAGCTTTTCAGGCTAATAATATCAAATCTCAATGAATCATGTTTACTAGTAGTAATGTGCAAACAGAAAAAAAGTGTTTCAATCCCTGTGCTTATGATGTGTGGTTTGAAAAGCTGCAGTTTGGGCAGCAACCACTAGAGGTCCCAAATTTATTCCTTCTTCATGGCCCAGCAATACTAAAATAGTCTTTGAATGTTGATGTATTATCTAGTTACTTGTCTCCATAAAAGCCCCATCTTTCCTCCTTAAAGGAAGCCGAAGATCAAATTTGTGAGAAATCTCCTGAGACATTTTTATTACCTTGGCGGAGACTTTTTATTGGAAGAATGAGGCTGACCTTGGCAGTGAACTAGAAAATCGATACGGCAGGAAGGAGGCATTTACTTTGATGAAGTCAGATCAATGGCTATCTGGTTAGGTCTGTATTGAGAGATCCATCAATTTTCAGCCATCATGGTTCATTTAACAAGGCTTGGGGCCATCTTGGGAAAGGAGATTGATTTTGCCAAAAAGCAGTTACTCAAGCAACTGCCCCTCTTGAGTTGTAGACAACTGGACAGATGAGAAAAAGGGAGGTTACCTCTATTGTCAGTGCTACCATGGAAAAGTCATTTTCTACCTCCATGGTGCTACAGACCAGAATGTACTCTAGAATATTCCTGCCAGGGTCTGGGATGTTCTGGCTTGCTACACTTGTACATCTAGCCTGGGTGCCAAACCCATAGCACACTGGACACAAAGTATCGTAGTGAGCATTGTGTCCAGTGTGCTATGGGTCTGGCAACCAGGCTATTGTACATATGATCATGATTTGTTTCCTTCCTTCCCTCTCCAGAGTCCTTGACAACCTGACAGATGAGAAGAAGGGAGACGGGGACGACAACTCCACAGACGAGAACAGGAACCTGTCGGAGGACTCTGCGGGCTCCTCAGACTCCAACGCCAACCTGCTGAAGGAGCTGGACCAGACACGGGAGCGGGAGAAGCTGGTTCTCCTGGAGCTGTACCCTCGGCTGGAGAAACAGTACGAACACTTCCGGCTGGTGGAGAGGGTCGCCGCCCTGTTCTGTCAGTTTGTGGGGATCCGGGGGACAACCAGGATGGGACCGACGGGGTTCAGGACATTCACAAGGTGGGGGGAGAATCGGGATATGCTGTTCATTAACATGTAGCATTTACAGATTATATTCAAATTACTGGGTAACCCAATTCTACTTATTTATAGAAAATTGGTATTCTTCTTTTGTTCATATACATTTGCCACCATATGCAGTAAGCTTTTTAGCATATTCACTGTTTTGTCCTTTTTTACAAATTGAATATTTTCTACATTTTAACATGTACATGTATTTTTTTGATAGAGGTGGAATTCGATTAGATGATATCCAGTGCTGCGTGATTCTTGTATTAAGTGTAAAGTATGAAAGTTATTTAATAAATTACTACATCCAGAAATGAACATAAATGACCATAATGCTAGAGATGTGAAGTCTACATGTTTTATTTTCCCTCCAGGACTTGCAAGCTGCACAGCAATGGTCTGACGACGGCCGCCATCGACATCCTGTACATCGACATGGCGCGGCGCTGGGCGCACGCAATCCCCGACCGCACCGCCGGCCTGTGCTTTCAGGGATTCATCGACGCCTTCTTCTACATCGCCCGCCGGAAGTTCTACAACCGCTGCGAGCAGTTTGCAGAGATGGTGGCCGCTCTGATCGACCACTGTGAGGGGAACCTGGAGGAGAGAGGAACACTGTTCAGGGCCGGTGTGTTCGCCTCACCGCTGTAAAACATGCCGGGACCTGTGGTGTTATAAGGAGGGACTTAGAGGTTATAAATGGAGCTGAAAATCGGATTCAGCAGTTTTCTTTTAGACAACCAAGATAGTTTACCTTGCTGACGTTTCAGTGTCTATCAGACACCTTCCTCAGAGCTTCTGACCAAAAGCTTTGAGACACCGAAATGTCAGCAAGGTGAACTATCTTGGTTGTCTAAAAGAAAACTCCTGTATCCTATACTTCACCAACCTGATGAAACAATTTTTGGGAGCTGAAAATCAATGAACCCTGAAGGGTAACATATAGCCATATCAACCTTACAAGTGACTTGACGTTCTTTTAGTTAGATTGTGATGTCATTTCCATTCCTGAAAAGCTGCAGTAGTTTTCTTCATTATTGACTATGAATATATGAGAACTGTGTTATCTGATACTTTATATTCCTTTGTTTTCTGGAAACCTTGTTAACATCAAATTGTCTCAGAAAAAAGAGTTCTGTCACTCTCTAATCATGGAACGTATGGATCTTGTTATGTCTTGAAAGTAGATATGAAAGGGGCACAGCTTAAGTAGGTCTTTGATTATGATTGAAGGCTTGTATGTTGGTGTATCATTTTGAAGTGCCTTAGATGAAATTAGATAAACTAATATCAAAGGGGTTTCAAACAATTTTCAGGTGCTTTGTGGATATGTTTTGTATGTTTATATGCTTTTCAAGGCCTTTTTCATAAATACACACAAATTCATGTAAATGTACATGTATATGAATATGAAAAAATCTGAACACAAATGTATGAATATACAGATAGATAAACTAAAAAGACAGCAGTACTTTTTATAGGCTGAGGAAGTTAGGAAATTCAACTCTATCAAGAATACTTGCTGATATGACGAGGGCCTTTTCATACACTGTTTTTCTTTTTAACTTTGACAATTAGTATGTAACAGTAATTTTAATCATTCCTATGGTAGTGCAGGATGCAAAGTTTATAATATGCTTAAATTTATATGTCATACACCAAAGAATGGCTATTGCTATTTTTTTTTTGCTATTTGCTAAGTTATTACTGTCGGGCTTCAGTGATCTCAACATCAATTTTTCATCTGCTACAAGATATTACCGGTACTACTGCAGGCCAAGCCATAAAGTAATGATATGAGAGGAGAGAATTCAATAAAAGGTGTTAGTAGTAATTCTAAGCTTACCTCCATTTACATTAATCCACCAGTTTACAGATAGATGTATCTACTACTTTGAAAAACAGTGTGTTTGAGAGATGACTCTTATGTATCATTTGCGATCTTTTAAGACACATTTTTTTCATGGTGGCAGATATATATATATGTCATTCATGTATATACTTGTATGACCTGTCGGAATGATGACAGGTCTTTGCTTACATGTGTTAAACTGGGTTCTATGTGTGTCTTCTACAGCAAATGTACAGCTTATATTGTACCAATTTTACATATAACATTTAACCTCAGTGAAATCGTCAAAGTGAAAGTCTTTAATAATATATCTTTGACACATTATTGGCATATCTTACATCCAGGTATTAACTTAATTGGAGGAGTTCAGAAATGCTCAATGTATAGTTCAAGGAACTTGAATGTGTATATATGTAATGTTTTGCACCTGATTCAACAAACAGGGTTGTTAAAATGCATATCAATTTTGCCTGATATATTTAGCTACCAGGCATATAATCTATTATGATGAAATTGTCTATAAGTAAATGTATATGTGAAAAAATCTGTCCGTGTATGAAATTTTTATAACTGTTGTATTTCTTTTTACTCCCACCCTTGTAATGTGGATCTGTGTATTTCTTTACTTTCCTGCAAATATGTAGTTTGTATATTTGTTCTATTGCTGCTATGCTGTTAAGTCTATGCCGTACATTGGTAACTGACCTTTTCATATGCTGGTTTATTGCCTGTATTGCTGCATAGCATAAACTTAAGCCATGACTATAATGTTCCTCTGAGGTGCATTGTATGTATCTTGCTAATGTGTTCTTCAAAGTGCAATATGTTTGACAATTTGTTGATTGAATGTAATTGACTGCTATTTATGTTAGAGTAAAATAAATCATGATGAATTTATATATGGAGGTCCAATGTAAAGAATACGTTGACTGCAACCTTCTGCTTTTCTTTAGCTGTGCTAATAAACTGTTGTGCATGAAGTGATGTGTTTTTCTTTCTTGTAGGTACAGTACATTTAATTTTATGCAGTGTGAATGTTGCTGTCAAACTGTAGCTATCAAGACACGAAAATCTTATGTTGATTACAGTATTATCTCATAATGCACAAGCCATATATTCAAGACAAAATATGTCAAGTATTGGAGCAGTTTTTTTGCAGCTATTCTGAAAGGCTACAAACTTAACAAGAGTTCCGAGATCTCATACCTCCATGAAATATGGGCTTGCTTTCTCATACATTTCAACATGTCCTCATTAATTATGCAAATGACCTCCACATTAACATAATAAATGCATAGTGGTGTTAACCCTTTAAGTAACTTACACATGTCAAGGTATGAAAGTTCCATCATTCACCAATAAGGAGTCACAGAATTTTCACATTAATTATGCAAATTAGGTCATCATTTGCATAATTGGTATCTGTTGATGTTCCATATTAAATAGATTACATGTATAAAAGTACTATTACATAAAACACTGTAATTATAGCATTTTCTCATAAATTATGCAAATTAAGTCCTCATTTGCATAATTTGCATCTAATTATGTACAACTCTCTCTCACCTACCTACACACCAAAAATTATGAAAATACGTTGTTCCTATCTGGACTTATTGGCTTGTAAAGATTTCGCCAGAAAGTGCCCTGCAGTTCCAGAACAAGCTGCTAGGGGGACCAAATTCACACCACTTATTTCTGACAAGAAAAGCTATCTGTCACCAAAAAGTCAAGACCATAGCATGTTCAGGACAAAAGATACAAAAACTGGAAGTTCTGCTGCAGTACCAAGGTCATCCACCAGGAGGCCCATATTTGACCTTGACCTTTGTCTTCCTAAGTCTTATCAGCATACCAAATATCATCACAATCCATAAAGGCGTTATGAAGTTATGCTGACTACAAAGTCGCGGAAACACACACAGACACACACACACACAGACACACACACACACACACAGACACACAGACAGACCCGCCAAAAACAATATCTCCATTTTTCATGGAGGTAATGACATTTTACACTGCAAGCCTCAGGATGGGCAAACACAGAAGCAAAACTGTCCATCTACACATGGTCCAAAAATAGCGCCACTAAACGCCTGAATTATCATTGCAGGAAAAGCGCATCCAGCAAGGCAAAGCAATTTGAGTCGCTAGGGGTCCCCATTGACACGCGCAGATGATTCTAACAACTGCCACATCATAAAAGCAAGAAGAGTGGCATATAAGGGTTAAAGGCGGGCAGCGCAATTTTAGGGCGGCAAAACAAAACAAAACAGAAATATTTACTTCCATTCCTTAGCACATTTTTCGGCGTCATTTCATACTAGAAGCGTCTGAAATAGCCTCAAAACAAGTTACGAGAGGTGTCTCTTTATTTTTTGGGTACCACCCAAAATACCTAGAACCAGCCTACGATGTTTGCCTCACAGATATCAGTATGATATGGGATAGGATTGATTTAACATACTGCATATAGACCAGAAAATTGACTTCGAACAGCCAGCTTTACCGCCCTGAAATTGCATTGGGTACCTTAAAAGGTTTCGCCAAAGCGATTCCCCCATTCCCGAAAAAACAGTACTGTGGATTAGGTTCTCATGATCAAGGGGTATATCCTTCGGACATACAAGGCTCTAGCTTTAGACATAAACATGTCCAGGTCGACGTCTACGCACGCACGCACGCACGCACACACGCACGCACGCACACACACACACACACACACAAACACACACACAGACACACACACACACAAACACACACACAGACACTACGGACATAACCCGCTTTCCCCTGAAACTCTAGAAAATAATGCTGTGGTTAATCAGGGGTGAGATCTAGCCATTTGAGTACCATCAAATCACCATGGCGAATGCGCAATTTTCCCACTGGATTAGCGTGAGAAACAAAAGGGTGTCTGGCGCGATCCAAACCAGATTTTGTTTCTTTTGATTGTTTCGCGATCATATTTCGTGCTTTTAATATATGGACCAGTTTTTATCCGCTAGGACTTGATTACAACTCGACGTTGCTAAGCGACAAGAACACATTCCCACTGGGGAAAATCCACCGTATTAAATTTCCCAGTGGCAGATTTTAGTCGGTACAAAGTTACTGCCGGAAATTAAACGAAAGGCTTGACGTTCACGGTGCCTTTGTGTAAACTAAAGGGTTCAAGTGTTTCGACGTTTCGAGAAAAGTAAACAAAACCTTGTCTAACACCATTTGATGGTGAATTTTGTACACTTCTCTAGGTCAACACAAAAGTGATCGCGCGGTCCTTTGAATGTTGATTCTAATGTAAAACTAACAGTAACACATCGAAATGAGCATTGAATGCAAACTGTGCATGCACAATATTGTATATGGTGATTTAATGATACTCAGGCTAGCTATATATTTCTACTATGCATGACTCATGGCGTTAGTTACAAGTAATGTTGTAACAACACACGCAACTTGTGACTAACGCAACTTGTAAACAATTCACAAATCAACAACAATAGTACCAATTCCTACCGTTATGTAGCATTATTCCATCTTTAAAAAAATTAAGCTTCCACAATGTTTTAGTTTCTGTGATAGAGCCGCAGCGGTCAAGTGTAGCGGGAAAGGGCCCTAGCAACGCCCCTGTGGGGGTAAACTAACAACTCAACAGCCGAGAACCGTAAAACATGATTGTTATGACACGTCACAAATCTGGAACACGTCGAACGCACCGATTGGTCGCGCTCTTTGTGCCGTCACCATGGCGACGATGGAGTGTTGTTACGCGTTCCAAACGTATATATTCGACGCCGATTCCAACGACGCAGTTCATTTTTCAGTTGACTCAGATTCGTTAGACATCTAAGTTCAACCGTTCCCTTTATTTTTCGTTTACTTTTGGTTTTATTTCCTCCGTTTTCCTCTCTCGTCGTCCAGACAGTCGAGAACAATGGTGAGTACACCTTCCTTATGT